ACTGCACCCTGACTGGCTCGTCTCCTCCCCACAGCCCTTCTGCAAGGGATGTCCAGGAGAATGGCAATTTTTTGCTCTGTATATTTTACCACAGGTTTTTATGGGTTTTTTTAAGTTCAACATATGATCTTGGTTTATAGGAAAAGTCATACAAGGTATTCTTTGTACAACTGGGGAAGTTTGAATGTGATTTGTGTATTACATGCTATGGCATTATTATTCCATTTTTAACTCTTACAATGGCCATCTGGTTCTATCTGAGCTGCCCTGTGCTTACAGGATGCAAGCTGATGCCTCCAGTCTCAGCAGAGTGACGCATGCGCTCTCCTGTCCATTTGAGAATGTCCGTAATGGAAGGTTGAAGGAAATGAAATGAGTCGTTCCACAGAACATACGATGAAAAGCCTCACACTCGTCATTGAGTGGGGTAGAGGATAATGCTTTCCACTTGCAAATACCATTGTAAATACATATTATCTAAAGGGTCTACTTAGTTTATTCTGAATTACCACTTTAATAAATATAACTACTAAATACAAGGGGCTTTAAAAAGTTTGTGGAAAAATTCCATTATCTTTTAACTCCATTTTTCCATGAACTTCTTGGAGCCCCTCGTGTGAGTGTATTTATATATTGATACTTAGAGATTTCTCTAATTTTATTCTTTGAAAAGCAAGGTTATAGAAACTAATTTTAAGAAACTAAGGAATTAATGCCTCCTCTTTTCCTAATTTTAGGCCCAGGAAAAAGGAAGATTAAACTATGCGAAGGTACGTAGATTTTACACATACTATATTCTTGGATTCATTTTGGTGTGGTGGTTGGTTTTTGTTTTATATTGCAAAGGTCATAAAAGAAATCATCGTGTTCAGAGCTGGAGGATATTTCCTGTCAAACAAAGAGCGTTAGCAGGGAAAGCAGTCGTGAGTGGATTTGCCGAGTGCTCATCTTATACCAGACAGTACATCAAGTGTGGGGATGCAAGAGTAACCAAGATAACAATATACATGTGATAGACTAGTGAGGATGGTAAATGGTACGATGAGAAAAAAACAGGGTAAAATCACTAATCGTTGTTGGAAACTTGCATACATGGCCTCCTGATAGAAAATAGCTCCTAGGTTGGTCAGATAATAACTGATGATTTGAAAGAATAGGATTAATTTTCTCTCAGTTCTGGGGACCAGAAGTCTAAATGTAGGTGGTGGTAGGGTTGATTCCTACTGGAGTTTCTTTTCTTTTTTTAAATTTCTTTTTTTTTTTTATTAAATTATTTTATTGGGGGACTCTTACAAATCTTATCATAATCTATCATTCAATTGTATTAAGCACACTTGTACGTATGTTGCCATCAACATTTCCAAAACATTTTCTTTCTACTTGAGCCCTTGGTATCAGCGCCTCTTTTTTCCCTTCCCTCCCCCATGCTCCCACCTTCATGAATCCTTCATCAATGATATATTATTTTTGTTATTTTGTATCTTATACTGCCCATTGTCTCCCTTAATCCACATTTCTGTTATTTGTCCCTCTGGGGGGAGTGTTGGGCTATATATCCAACCTTCCGATGGGTTCTCCCTTTCTCTCCCTTCCCCCCCCACTCCCCCTCCATCCCTCCATCCCTCCATCCCTCCAGCCTTATGATATCACTACTCCCACTACTGTTCCTTAGGAACTTATCTGTCCTGATTCCATATGTCAAGAGCTCTTATCTGAACCAATGTGTGTACTCCGGTCTAGCCAGATTTGTAAGGTAGACCTGGCTCATGGTAGTGGGGAGAGGAGGCATTCAGGAACTAGGGAATGATGTTGTTTCATTGGCCTACTGGAGAATCTGAAGGAGAACCTGCTCTACATCTTTCTCCTAATTCCTGCTGGTTGACATTCCTTGACTTGTAGATGCATTGCTCCAATCTCTAGCTTCACGTGGCATTCTTCCCAGCCTTCTTTGTCTCTGTTTTCTTATAATGGGACCACTTAGAATGGATTTAAATGGTGCCTTTATAAATTAGTGGACTACAGCTTGCCCTAATCCAGGCTGACCGTAAACTGCCATAGTCTCACATAAATAATGCACAAACTATACAGTCTGTTTGGTGTTTTTGCAAACCACATAGCCCTGTCTGCATTTAAGTTTCCTATGTGTGATGTATACATCATGTCCATGTGTGCACGGACGTGGGGCATCAAACCCTGTGTGGAAAGGGTCAGTCTCCATGACGCTGAGACCAGAAGAACTAGGTGACTCCTGACTATCACAGCCCCTGCTCTGAAAGGAATCATAGTAAAAGGCCCTGGAGAGAGGAGAAGAAAAATATAGAACAGAATTCAAAATCATAACACAGACCAGGCTTACTGGTCAGAGACTAATGGAACCCCTGAGACTATGCCCCTTGGTCACTCTCCTGGTCTGGAAGTGAACTCACCCCTAAGGTTCAGATTTTCTGCCAAACAATCAACAGGGCTATACAGGAAACAGTAGCACGAGGGAGATACATACACTTTAGAATCATCAACCATTTGAGATCAAAAGGGCAGCATTTACCCAAGGACAGAGTTCAGAAGGATTAGGAAAAAAGGAGTGGAACTAGGAAGTGTAAAGAGGAAGTAAGACACAAGATACTTTGTTGTGGGGATTGCAATCAATGACATGAAACAAAATGTGTATGACTTGATGAATGGAAAACTAATATGTGCTATAAACCTTCAGCCAATTGACAGTAATTTTTTTAATCGTTTTATTAGGGGCTCATACAACTCTTATCACATTCCATACATACATCAATTGTGTAAAGCACATTTGTACATTCATTGCCCTCATCATTCTCAAAACATTTGCTCTCCACTTAAGCCCCTGGCATCAGGTCCTCATTTTTCCCCTCCCTCCCCGCTCCCCCCTCCCTCATGAGCCCTTGATAATTTATAAATCATTATTTTGTCATATCTTGCCCTGTCCGACGTCTCCCTTCACCCACTTTTCGGTTGTCCGTCCCCCAGGGAGGAGGTCACATGTAGATCCTTGTCATCTTTCCAACCCACTCTCCCTCTACCCTCCCAGTATCGCCACTCACACCACTGGTCCTGTAGGGATCATCCGCCTGGATTCCCTGTGTTTCCAGTTCCTATCTGTACCAGTGTACATCCTCTGGTCTAGCCAGACTTGCCAGGTAGAATTCGGATCATGATAGTGGGGTGCGGAGGAAGCATTTAGGAACTAGAGGAAAGTTGTATTTTTCATTTTTGACAATATTTTTTTTAATTTGTGGAAATATTTTATTAAAATAGATTTTTTTCCTATTTTTAAAGTTCCATGAACTTTTTGAAGCCCCTTCCTAGTTATGGACATGTTGTTTTCCCAAACATAAACTAATTAATTGCATATGCAAAGACCCTATTTATAAATATGGGTAATTGTGAGGTCCCGGGTGTCATGAATTATTTACGCACATTATTCAAGTCAGTACACCTGGGAAACACCGTGCACTGCGGACTCAAAAGGTGATCATTCACTCACCACCTATGGAGCTTTTGGAAAATCTACACACTTAGATTACCAATGTATTCCATCCTCTGACACCAAACTCAAACCCCCCTGGTTGGGGAGCAGGCCAGAGGGCAGGCTGGAGTCATTTGAGAAAGTCTCTGAAGGTAATCCTGAATTCAGATTTCAGGACACACCTGGGTCACAACCTCTTTTTTTCCCTCAAGGGTAAATGGAATGTTTTAGCAGGTGTCTACCAAAAGAACAGACAAATCTGTCTTAGAAGAAGTATAGCAAGAATATTCCTGAGAAGCAAGGATGGTAAAGCTTCGCCTCACACACTTTGGCCATGTTATCAGGACAGACCAGTCCCTAGTAAAGGATGGCATGCTTGGTAAATTAGATAGCAAAAATGTGGTGGGATTCCCGTAACACAATGGACTGACACAGTGAAGAAACGGGCTCACACATAACAGTTGTGATGGTGGCACAGGGCCAGGCAGTACTTCTGCTGTACACAGAGTCGCTGTAAGTCAGACGACTTGACTGTACCTTACAACAGCAGCTAAAGTAGCCTTCTCCTTTATTCTCTTTTCTTGATAACATTTATCACCATGGTGGCCAGGCTCAGGGTTACATCGCCTGCACCCAGCACAGGCTACACCTGAGAGGGTTATGAGGATTGCCTAAGTATTCTGTTAAAGGAAAGTGTAAGAAGCTGTGGAAGTCTGGAATCAAGAAACACAGACTGAGAATAACTACCGTTAGATCAATGGTTCTCAACCTTCCCTAATGCCTTGACTCTTTAATACAGTTCCTCATGTTGTGGTGACCCCCCAACCATAAAATTATTTTCATTGCTACTGTCATTTTGCTACTTTTATGAAACAGGTGACTTCTGTGAAAGGGTTTTTTGACCCCCAAAGGTGTCAGGACCCACAGGTTGAGAACCGCTGTGTTAGATTATATGAGTTCTATAATCCAGCTCACTTGCCTACCGAAGTGTCCAGTGATAAGAGTTATAATGCCCGACCACCCTTCACTTCCCTTGAAGATGTGCTAATATCCGGTCATTTAAGGGCAAAACCTGATCCAAATAATTAACCTAGACCCTGTCATTCGTACACAGACTCACTGTTGTTAGTTGATGTCAGGGCACTTAGATTTCCAGGCAACATGAGAAAGATGGATTCTTTTCCACCAGGTAGTGAGTAGTTCGATGTCTGCAGAGTGCGGCTGACAGTATTGTCTGGCATGTTTGATGCAATGTATTATGAGCAACATGTCACTTAAGGAACCCTGGTGGTACAATGGTTAGCTCAGCTGACAACTAAAAGGTCCGCGGTTCGAACCCACCAGCCGATCCGTAGGAGACAAGACCTGTAGGAGATTGCACCTGTAAGATTTCAAAGTAGGAAACGTGGAGCAGGTCTGGTGTCTAAAGCCCTATAAAATGACTGTTAGTTAGCGTCGACTTGACGGCACGCAACAAGAACAATAGTTAGTCCACGTCACGACCTCCGGTCAGATTGAGCTCGGCTGCGAGCAGCGTCACTGATGGGGTGGTCTGGAAAAGCTGCAAAGCCATTCCTGAAGGCTGTCGTGAAATTTATGTCGCTGAAAATGTCTGTATTTTCCGTTGATGGGTATTGACTCAAAAGCCAAATTTTAGCCGAGGGGAAAATATGTCCTGAAGCACAGACACTTACCTTGGTTGCTTGTTGTGTGGCTTTCGGTGCCGTGTCCCAAATTCTGTTAGCCACAGACTAGCGAGAGGGTGAAGGAGAAGGTGGACAGGGGATCGTTTCAAAATCAAGTCTCAGTTGGAGTTCAGAACTGTCAGTCACATCCAGCAAAACAGTGGAGTGTATGCAGACACTCCGAGAAGAAATGGAATTTGTTTTTCATTGAGTTCCTGTTGCGCCGGAGCCTGGATGTGAATGCTCTACACTGGTCCCTTTCAGCCAGCGAGATCAAAGCTCTTGACGACTGTGAAGTCATTCCATTGCTCCTGCTTAATGGGCACACTCGACCCACTGCTGAAACTCAGCCACCTGGGGGCAGGCGGGGCTGAAGA